TTGATTGGTTTGTGAAATTAAACCAAACAGTTTGTAAATCTTGACAAAAAAATGTTAGCACTAACTTCAATACTAAATACTGTGAAGATTTCAACATACATTATACTACTAAGTAATTCTAATAACAGTCAAGACAAATTGAAAACATGTAGTTCAAGAGAATACTAAATGAAAATGAACAAAATATTTTTCTCATGCCTAATGAAAATGTCATCATCATCATCATCATCACTGCAATTTTAATCATCACCAATAGTTATTGCAAGCCCACTGCAAGGACTTTCGCTATTTTTTTTTTTTTTTTAAAGCATTTCACCTCAAGCATGGCAAAAGTGCCACTAGCACACAAGGGTTTACAGAGAGTGAAAGTAAGAGTAAAGAGGAGTGTTTTAGGAAAGGATAAAGAGGGAAGCAAGTAAGAGGAAGGGAGTTCAACTGTCAGGAAATGCGAAAGAAGAAGCTGTTGGAGTAGAAGAGGTGGTTACATTTAACTGTTTTGACAGTAAAAGGGCATGACCGAGATGCCAACCTAGTAGCACGCTTAAATTCATGCAGTTTAGGCACTAGTGAAAATAGCTCGTCAGAGCAGTTGCCAAGAAAATATTTGTAGAAAAGACAGAGGTAAGCCACATCACATTTGTGAGAAAAAAAAGTGACTGGAGTTGAGATGCCAGGTTAGGACCTATCACATTGCGTATCAGTCTAGAGATGAACAGCAGAGGCAACAGTATTCAATGCAAGGACGAATGGTCGATTTGAAGGATTAACTCGGACAAGAAAAACCTTCTGGTGCGACACAGAGAATTCCTTATACAACTGTGTTATTCTCTGCCATGTCTTACCAGCAAACTCCTCTATCTCACTTCCATTTTCTAACTGGCTTTTTTTTCTTTCTGTTTTCTATGTATCACTAAACTTCTTTTTTTTTCTCCCCTTATTTTCAAATTTATATAAAATATAGTTTTGTTGCTTAAACACTCCTTACATCTACTTCTCTTGTCCCGAACACTGCTCTTTCCATGGATTTCTGTGTATTTCTGTTTTTATTTTATTTTTCTCCAACCTGTATGAAATTGTCAGCATTAAACATTCATTATAAACTTTATTTTTTAACTATAGTGGTAACTTGTTTCTCATTATGTGCACAATTCTATTAAGTGCTTCCAAGCCAAACATTGTTATCTTATTTAATTTTGATTTCTTTAATGTGTTCCAAACAGATGTATTACTGAATTTCTTCCACTAGTTTACAATTTATTCTGATGGTCTTTTTAGGGAGCATTGCAAGTGAACATTTGCTTTAATTCTGTACATTTTAAGCTAGTCCAAAGACTTTTCCGATTCAAATCATTTAGTTAAGTTTCTTGTAAGCCATTGTCTTTACATGTTGTGTCCCTTCAGAAAGTAAGCGATCATGGCTCTCCACAACTTCTTGTTCCTTCCAGCTCTTAATAAACTTTGCCTTTCTTTTATTTCTCCTAAACCCTGTTCTGACATCCATTTACTCAAGCTCACGAAGTATTGTTTTCCTTGGTCCCTCATGCCTTCTGTCTTGTGAATAACAGATTTTCCAAGCCCAATGTTATCAGCAAATCATTGGTGTGTTTCAAATATTCTCCATTAATATTAACTTCTATTTCTACCCCCAATCGATTTTACAAAAGATACTTTCAAAGAATGCTGTAAACAATTTAGGCAAAATAGTACCTTCTCTTGCTCATTTTCTAATTGTTATTTTGATTTATTAAATCTTTTTGTAGTTGAACCATTATTGTACATATTGATTATGTGTACATATGGAATTAAAAACAACCAAATATTCTACCAAGTTAAATCCCTTTTCATAATCAACTAAAGCTAAAACAGTTTCTTATATTGCTTTTTTCCTTCTCTTAATGCAAATTAGACACTCTACTGTTGACTATCCACTTCTAAAACCTGCCTGTTCACATGGTAGATTTTCATCTACGATATTTTTACTACTCTGTAAATACTTTTGAGACTAGTTTATATATGTTCAATAGTAATATTCAGCCAGTCAGTTAAGTGCCATACGTGATACATGCTTGGGCAATCATATCTCTTTCAATTCATGACTGACTAGGCTGAAGATTTTTCTGCAGTTGGCTGCTGTTTCTTTGTGGGGGTGGGGGTGGAGAAGAGATGGATTCATACTTTTCCCAAGGGTATTTATGCGTAAGTGAATGTAATGTAATCAGACTGCAATTTGGATAACAGCTCCCCGATCTCTCATTCCGAATAGATATCCATTACACCACCCACACCCTAATACAGGGGGCAGCAGAAATAGCTCCCACATAATGGTAAGACATTAGATAGATGAAGACCTCATTGTCACTAATAGTTTACATTTATCTGAGAGATATGTGTAGGAAATATTTCAGTTGCACCTTGTATTACAAAGTGATAAATGCCAAGGTGGTCTGTATATAGATTTATTTTTTTATAAAATAGATGTTTTTATGTGATTTACTTTGTTGTATTTCATCAGTTGTTACCTCTGCTACATTGTTAGCATTTACTAGGGTGGATGCTGGTAGAATTTTGATTTTTTAACAATACAAGTTTACATGGTTATATTGTGTTATCCTTAACATCCTGTGGTGACTTTCAGTGCAAGTATGTGTTGTTATTTGACAGACAGCATATTTCAAACTCTTCCCTTTTCTGATAACTTAGACAATGTTCATCTGTCTTTTTTTCTTCTTTCATTCTGTATCTGTCTATATTTCTGAGATGAGGTATTATGTACATTATTTACATTATTCGGACTATTGTCTTCATCTTTGTCGCCATATTTATTACAACGTTTTGGTTGTTGTGCGCTCTGGCCTTCTTCAGGTGGTTGGAATGTCACTGAACCCTTTATTTCGCTAACTGGGGTAGACTGTTCTAGTTCCACTAATGACTTTATCCACTGTGCCATGTGTCCTTAAGGCGTTCAATAGTGTGAGTTCAATACCCGGTTAAGGCAGTGGAGAAGTTGGAGAGGGGAATTAATAGGAGATAACTGATAACTGACATCCATTAAACATGGCACGTGAAACTAGAACAGTCTACCCCAGTGAGCGAAATAAAGGGTTCAGTTCGACATTCCAACCACCTGAAGAAGGCTGGAGTGTACAACGGCTGAAACGTTGTAATAAATATGGCAACAAAGATGAGGACAATAGTCCGAATAATATAAATAATGTTCTTTTATTCTTTTGTTGATAAAATTCTGTCTTTTCCATTTTAGTCCCCCTCCTACACTTCCTTTTCTTATATCCATGTCCTTTTATCAGTTCTATTTCAATTTGTTCTCCTGATCTTCTCAACTATTTCCTTAATAATGCTTACCAATTTACTATTTGTCATCCTTGTTACTTTGACTATTCTATAATGCTTCTACTTTCATCAAAGGACATACTTTCCTTTTGGGATTCATTTTGTTTGTCTCAATTTTAAAATCAAATTTACTATGCTGCTTACCACCATATGGCTGATTCTGATAATATACAAATTAATTATAAATTAAGCTGATCTACTTAAATTCTTTGGCAAAATAACAACCAAGTCATTTGAAGACAGCCAGCCAACTATAATTTGTTATATATATATATATATATATATATATATATATTTATGGGAGATATAGACATGAGATCTGATCAAAAAGTATCAGGACTGGTGCTAGACAAAGAAAACTACAAGATATATCAATTCAGCATTTAATCTCCTTCGAAATAATCCCCTTCTGAAGCCACATACTTTATCCAGTATTATTTCCATTAATGGAAGCATTTCCTGGTACTCCTTTTTTGGATAGCAAGCAGCTATCTTGTTGCATTCTCTTGGATTTCATCAGCATCAAGAAATCTTGTTCCTTTCAAGTTGGAATTGATTTTTGAAGAGTTAAAAGTCACAAAGGGCAGGACCTGGGGAATATAGTGGCTGTTAAACCTGGGGAATATTGTGCTTGGTCAAAAACTACTGCAAAAGCCATGGTCACTGATGAAACCTCTGTAGTGTGGTAAGATGGCCACACTCTACACACTTTCCTTCAAAGCATGCTATAAACAACAGGAGTGAGCAAGAACGCTATAACTTAGTCTGTAGTTCAAGGTCAATATGTTCCAAGTGGCTTCATTCTGCATACTTTACTTGTTACCATAGCAACGGTCCTGATACTTTTTGAACAGACCACACATTTAAATATGCGAATAAACTTCACCTCCTTAGCTAGATGACAGTAAAGAAACAAAGTGAATTATCCGAGTTGAACTGTAACCCGTTTATAGTCAATGAAGTCATTGGCTCAATGTCAACTTCAGCCGCCTGCATCTATTACTTTTTTTTACTAGCTTTCTCTCTTACTAAGCTTACTACTTTATCTTGACATTATTTTTAAGCTCTTTTGCCTATTTTGCACAGAGTTTACTGCCAAATAAATTATAAATTGTAATATATATTCTGAATAGAATTTTCACTACCATTTCTTTGGTAGTAAATTTTGGATAATATTTGTCAGTACAGTTCTGTTTAAAATAAGATCTAAACTTTTGAAACTATCCATCATTATATAGCAGTAGTTTTGTAACTCCAATATTAAAATATATATGTTGTACTATAATTTTTCTTGAGGCCTTGAATGGCGCTAAATAATTTTCATATTTTAATTTTCTACCTTTAACCCCTGTCCAAATCTCTTTTACTCAAAGGAACAAATGAACCACATCACCAACCAAAATGTAACACTAACCTTCCACTATTTTAGATATTAATTGGTAAACATCAGCTGATTTTCACAAGAAAATTGCCAGTAACAAAATTCCAAAAATAAAATGCTTGTATTGATTTTCAGACTGTTGTTAAAAGGATGTAAACGTGAATAAACAAAGTATTTTTGGAAGAGAAAAATTATTCAGGTTATAAATTAAACAGGAATTTTTTTTATCATATTGAAAGTATAGCATTGTATTAATAAGTATAATACTTACTGAATGTATTTGATCACCCCTCCGTAATTCTCCACTGAGATCTGCAGGTCCTCCTGCCAAAATGAACGATACAAAAATTCCTTCTCCATCTTCACCACCAACTATATTAAATCCTAATCCAGTTGAGCCTTTCTGCAGAACTATCCTTCGTGGTTCTCTGTAAATTAAACAAATATATATGTATATATATATATATATATATATTTATAAAATAAGTTTAAGACAGCTTTACTTATAAAACATTGTAGCTATTAACATTAGAAATTAATGTCAAATAAAAGATAATAAAAAAAATCAAGATAATGAGAGTTCTTTAGAAATGGCAGTCATTCTACAAAACTCATTCCACCAACTAATTTAAGAATTACAATGTCAACTAATACAAGATGGTGCTGAAAAGTTTTAAGATGAGCCAAGAAGCTGAATATGTTTGGTCATTTGATCAGATTTTGTGAGCTTTTCCGCAACCTCTCATAAAGTCTGATATTGGAGAAATTAGATACTCAGTAAAAAAAATCTATTTGCAAATTGTTCAGAAATTTAGCTTTTTGAGAAGAGAAGAAAAAAATTATCTGATGGCCAAAAAGTTAACAGGAATAACTGTGTGAGTATTAAAGTTAATTTTGTATATTTATGGATAAAGAGCAAATCACTTTTTTTTGTTAGTGTAAACGAGAATTTGAAATATATCTAAGGCAGAAACAAGGATTGACCGTTTCATGGAGAGGTTGTAGTGGGTGGGGAAGATGAAAATACTTATATTGCATGTTAAATAAAGGAACACTTCTACCAAGAACATTAGTATGTAACAATATTCATTAATTTATTGATTTGAGCAGAGACTAAGGTGTGGTTTTTAAAATCTTGAGAATGTATTTTCTTTATAGTTCACATTAACCTAAAGAATGAAACAGAAACAATAAAACTCAGAAACTAATATATTCAGAATGTTTGGACTTGATTTAATGATAATAAAAAAAAAAAAAAAAAAAAAAAAAAAAAATATTTTTCTTTTCATTGTGTGCAAACACACATTTTAATATATTGAAAATCATTGAAAAAAAAATTCCTGAAAATACTAAATATCAGTGCCATATCAAGTAGAAATAGTTAACTGTATTTTATCTATCAAAAAATATTGCTCTCTTGGGCAGTGCATAATGGAAAATTACTCTGGTGAAAAAGAACAAATAGCAAGATTGACTGACTGATTTGTTTTACAGCTTAACCTTTTGCAGGTTATTTAAAGCCAGAAAATATTTTTAGATAGTAAAAAATTTTGGAGATAATTATTTACTGCTACAATTGTTACTAATTAACCCATAGCTGGGAGGAGAAGAGGTGGATTCATACCTTTCCCAAGGGTATTTGTGCATAAGTGTAAATAACAAACCCAACTGGAATTGGAACTCGGCACTCCAATTTCCAATTCTTAGCTGTTATCCATTATACCATCTGCACATCCAAGCTTACAGTACCTGGTATTCCCAAGTGGTCACTCATATAGGAACTGATCAGGCTTGACATTGCTTAACTTCAGTGATCGTAGAAAAACTGGTGTTTCTATGTGATATGGTAGCAAGCCACAAAAATAGCAAGAAACTTTTAAAGAGCAACACACCTGAGGAAAACCAAACAATATATTGTCTATAATGTTTCATTGAGAGAGAGAGAGAGAGAGAAAGATGAGAACAACAGAAAAAGATATGAAATGACTATAATGGAAAGAAAAAAAAAATCTTTTCAAATTCTAAATAAAGTGAACATGATGATGCCAGTGAATGAGAAATACACTGGCATCAAGATTTGGGAATGGGCTGCTCGAGAATTTAATTCAATTCTCTGAATGCTTACAGTTCAATTAAACTATCAGAACTTAGCAATAACTATCTTAGCTTAACAAAAAAAAACTATGTCATTACACAAAATAATTCTGTGATAATATTTTCAATATAAATCATTAAAAGCTAACAAATAAAATTTTGTAGTTATAGAAGCTAACTTTAGTAAACTGATGAGAGAGAGAATTTTAAAGAAGTCTCATCCATTTGAAACAAGATCTTTTCAGCTTCTTATATAGAATAATACCGGGGAAAAATGAAATCATTAGATTTGTTTAGAATAAAAGAAAATATCTTTGGCATTTAGCCAATACTGAGTAGCACATTTATTTATTTATTTATTTTTTTAAGATATAGTATTCGGACTAATTGAAATATCAAATTATTCTTTTGAAATGAGAGAAAGACTTTTTTTGTAGAAGTGATTTAAATAAAAATGAAAAATTTGCTATAATAGAAAGTAATCCACTTGCCAGGTACTTTTTGCATGTATGTATATATATATATATATCTCCAGGTAAGATGAGAACAAATAGACTACAATTCCAATGTTCATAAAATTTAATTTACAAGGGCTCAATACAAAATATAGCAATATTCTTTATTTTAGGATATTATGTCAAAAAATGTCAAAATCACTAAACAATTGCATTTGTATT